GATAGAGAGAGAGAGAGCCATTCATCGTAGGAGGTCGGACGCGGGGGGGGCTGTATGCCACACAACGACTGCGTGCGAAGACCGTCGAACCGCGCCTGGATCGGTCTCCTGAAAGTCCGTGCAGAGAACATGGCTGCAGCAGCGTCGCCCATGAAGGCGCCACACGTATTCCGAAGAGTCTGCTCCCCATCTGATGGTTGTACAGTAAATGTGCTAAACTCGTGTCTTTGATGAAAGAACTTCTGGGTCGCAGGCTCAATCGACTCCTCTACCGTCTGCCTCAAGGCTGAAAGAGTGGAACATCCGAAAGCGTTGGACATATCCTTTTTTGAGGTCACCATAGGGATGCCCCGCTTCCTGAGCCTCCAGAGACAAGCTTCTTGGCACACGAGTGTACTTTCTCTATTCCTGCCAGGGAGAAAGCCATTTTCACGATCTGGGGCGCTAATAGGAGGACCTGCCTCTCCGCTACCTCGTAGACCTTCGTGATCCAGATCTGCCACGCGTCGTCGGGGTCGCCAGCTACAGCAGCTCGTGGAAGTCCAGACCCTCGAACTGCTGCTCAAGGTCCTGCGCGAAGTCCCCCCGCTCCATCTCCGCGCTTCAGCGCCGATGCTAACTTGTTGAAATCCCACCTCACCCCCTCAGGGCGAGACCAAGACATGTCCTGTGCATACTTCGAGCGTATCAACAGCGGCACGTGGTCCTGGACGCCCTGCTTGTTTACGAGCTTGAGACGAAGATTAGACCTCTGGAGATCTCTGGAGCCCTGTGCAGCTCACCATCCTCACACTGCCATCTGCATATCGCGACATAGTCGATGACACCAGAGCTCTTGTGGCCGTAGTGCGTGTCACCGACATTGTAGTCCATTGAAATGGCCCGCAGATCGTACCGTTCTAGAATGTCAAGAACCCGATCCGATGCGTACCGCTGTTCCCCTCGGCAGTACATTGCAAGGGGACGGACTGCACAGGTACCAGCCTTTGACCAGAAATCTTCCTCATGCCGAAAGAGTCGTTGAGATCGAATCCAAGAAACCCTGCTGATTTGGTACACGTCCAAGCGAGACATGTCTCCAAAACAGTCGACAGTGGCACGAAATCGTCGAGAGGGGGCGTCGTACGTAGACTCCCTGCCTTCGCGTCGGCCAAGACGGCCTCGGCGGAAAACAGGCCATGGGCAGCACCAGGTCGAACCGCTCCGGCCGCACGCGGTGGAGCGCCACGCGACTTTGGAGCTGCCGAGGTACAGGTAAAGAATCCACGATGTGCTTTTGCCTGACCTTCCTCTTTCTCAGCAGAAGCGTCACCCCGCACGAAGAACGCACATGCCTGCCAGGAACGAACCCGCTGCGCGGCGCAATATGGCACCGAAGATGCGTCATGACGACAGCCTGCTCCCCAGCCTTTCCCCAGTCGAGGACAAGGCCACGATGTCGACGGTCTTGAATTCTTCCGATATCTCGGCGAGTCGCAGCTGATCGGTGAATACCATGCAATTCCAATGCATGCAAGGCAACATGGCTGCGCGCGTGATCTGGCCGTGGGGCCATCCAGCCCGATGCGAGTCCGATCTCGGGTCTGCTGGAGCTCTCAGGCCGTGTGTGTGTGTGTGTGTGCTCGGGCAAGAGGGGCTAGGAGGAGGCGGAGGAGGAGGAGGAGGATGAGGAGTAGGAGGAGGAGGAGAGATATAGGGAGAGGGAATGGTTGAAGGGATAGGATGAGGAAAATGAGCGAGAGAAAGGGGGGGTTCGAGGAGAGGGAGGCAGGAAGAGGGGTGAGGGAGAGGTTGGATGAGGAGGAGGGAGGAGGAGGACAGGGAGAAAGCGAGGTATGAAGAGGAGAGAGAGGAGGAGGAGAACGAGGATGAGGGAGAGAGATGAGTTGCAGGAGCTGGGCTCACCAGGGAGCGGCCCAGTGGACGGACAGGGCTCGTCGCCAGAGAGACCGAGAGTCTGCCCTCACGGTCGCGCTGTGAGCGTCTTGCGCTGTGCGCTGTGCCACAGAGGCCCCAGAAGGCTTTCTGCGCTCGGCGACAGAGTGCAGATGATGATGATGGTGGTGCAGATGACGATGACGATCATGATGATGCTGATGCTGCTGGTGATGATGCTGATGATGATGATAATGAAAAAGATGGCGATGCTGATGATGAAGATGATTCTGATCATGATGCCGCTGATGCTGATGATGATGATGCTGACGACGATGACGATTATGGTGATGGTGAGGATGAGGATGAGGAGTATGAATATGGTGGTGGTGGTGATGTTAGTGGTGATGGGTGGTGATGGCCATTATTGTGAAGATGGTGATGGTTTTGTTGACGGTGGCGGTGATGGCAAACATGTTAGGGACCACGATGATGCTGTTGAAGATGGTGGTGGTAATGATGATTACCGCGGTCGTGGTGATACTGATGGTGATGACGATGCTGCTGCTGATGACGATTCTTGTGTTGGTGATGGTGATGATGCTGTGGTTGACGTTGATGATGCGGTTGACGATGTTGCTGCTGCTGCTGCTGATGAGTATGATGATGATGCTGAGGATGGTGATGGTTGTGATGGTGACGTGAATGATGGTAGTGATGGTGATGGTCATGGCCAATGGTGGTGGTGTTGATGACGAGTATGATGGTGGTGGTGATGATGAAGATGATGGTGATGATCATACGCGACGCAGCTCAGTTCCCAAGACGGCCCGAGACGGCGCCAAGAGGGCCACAAGGCGCCCCCACGCCCAGGCATGCTCTAAGAGGCCTTCAAAACGGACCCATGTCCTGCCGAGACGACTCCAAGATGGTCCAACGGAGGTTCTGTCAGGAAAGCTCGGGAGAAGCGTCCTGCCCGAGACAGCCCCGAGACCTCCAGGATGCCACGGCTCTAAGACGGTACTTCGGGAGGATCTTGGAGCTTGTTGGAAGCATGGGTCCCCAAGAACACTCTTGGGGCCGCGGGAACTGTCACGAGACAAGCCCTGTATGCGATCGGAAACCATGGCAGCTTTGGATCCAGGAGTGCTTGCGGTGTTGAAGAACATGGTGGGCTGTCACCGCGCCTTCAGCATCAAATGCGCCGGCTCCGAAACCGACGCTTCCGATTACTCGGGCATAGCTCTTTTTCCGCGCCGTGCATGAGGTGGAAGTTGAGCGCGCGAGAAACGCGAAATGTTAGAAAAGAAGGCAGGACTGGAGACACAAGAGATAGGAAGCAATCGACAGGAAGCAACGACCAGCATTTCACACGAGACGAGACAACATAAAGACGAAAATGGGCACCCTCAAGGCAACACCAACACACTGCCCACCGTGTGGCTAGGGGGCCGTCATGGGGCGTCGGAAGCCCGAAAAGGCGAGAACGTAAAAATTATTGACAAACGCATCAATGATTTTGGTCTCCTGGAGTTTCTCTTGGAGCCCTCTTGGGGCGTCTTCAGGGCTTCTTGGGCCATCTGAAGGGCCGTAGACCCTCTTGGGGCCGTCCTGCGTGGAAAGACCGATGGGATATGCAAGTTACTGGACTTTCCGGGTGGCAGGCGGGTTGAGCCGAGAGCCCATCTGGGAGCTCTTTGAACGACGCAGGACCGCTTAGAAATCCAGCACGCTGTACACCCTTGTGGCAAGCCGTAGGGGGCGGCGGATCGAAGACGCCTACGGCGAATCACCGCCGCCCCCTCGCTGCCTTCTGAAAGAGCCGACGTGGCCGAACGTTGTGACCAAGGCTTGGACACGCTATCGGACTAAGTGTTCCTCGAGCCGTAGTGGAAACCCTTCGGGGAACATTTGGGGGAGGATGTTGGATAGCACCAGGAGGTGGAGGAAGAGGAGGGGGAGGAGGAAGAGGACCAGTGCAGACCCAAGACAAGCCGCCCTCCATCCGTGAATATTTTACAGTTGTGTTTGCTCCTTCACATTTTTTTCAAACAGTTTTGTTTGTTTCTCCACTTTTCTTACTGATATATATATACATATATATATATGTATATATATATATATCGATGCATCCATACAGGAAGCGTATATTCGCGGCGCTGAGGCGAGAGCCACATTTTGAAAAGGATCCGCTTGCAATCCGTGCATCTCTTGTAATCTGATTTTAACGAATGTGCGCGGCGCTTTGGCGAGAGCCACGTCTTGGAAAGGAGCCGCCTGCACTCGGTGAAACCCTGGCAAATTTTGAAGATGAATGTGCGCGGCGCCAAAGCGAGGGCCACATGTTGAGAACCACCCGCGCTCCATCCGTGAGACTTTTGAAAGTTGTTCAAGAACAAGGGTGTGGGGGGCGCTCAGGCGACAGCCATTGTTTGGAGAGGAGCCGCCAGCTATCCGTGAACGTCTTACAGGTTTTTAAACACGAATGCGCGAGGCGCTAAGGCGAGAGCCACATATCGAAAGCGTCCTGCTCTCAATCCGCGAAGCTCCTTACAGTTTTCTAAAACGAATGTGGGCGGCGCCAAGGCGAGAGCCACATGTTGAAAACGACACGCCCTCCTTCCGTGAAGCTCTAGCAGCTGTCTGCAAAGAATGTGTATGGCGCGTAGGCGAGAGCCACATTTTGACAGAGGCCCGCCTTCAATCCGCGAAACCGTGGCAACTTTTGAAAACGAATGTGGACGGCGCTAGGGCGAGAACCATATTTTGAAATATGCCCGCCCTCCATCTGTGCTTGAGGATCGTAAATGGTGAGGGGAAACGCCTGGCTAGCCCTACCGACAGGTCACGGGGTGCGACACGAAGGAGTTATCAATAAGGGAGATGGATGGAGGAGGAGGAGGAGAACGAGGAGAAGGAGAATGAGGAGGAGGAGGAAACGGAGGAGGAGGAGGAGGAGAAAGAGGAGGATAGCTGCTGTCTCTCGCGGGGGGGGCCTCCTCGCCCAGTCCTTTCAGAAGGGGCGGGAGGAGGAGGTGGAGGAAGAGGAGGGGCTTCAGCCCTTCTCGATTTGGCGCTGACCTTTCTGTGCTTTGTGCTTGTTGCTCGCATTTCGCTGCCGCGAGGCCCGATTCCGGGTGGTGATTCTGGATGAGGCCCTGTGCTATTGGCTGCTTGGTGAGAGGATGCTTGTTGCTTGTGTACCGCTTCTTCGCTCTACACTCTCCAGCTCGGCCACTCTTTTCCACCCTTTTTTGTTGTCTCTTTGGGAAGGTCAGGTCAGGTCAGTCGCCCGTTGATTGCCGCACTTCTTCGCCATGTGCAGCGCGTGTGGCAGCCTTGCAGGGAGCATGCGGGTGACCGCGTGGGCAGCCGACGCTGACCTGCCTGGACCAATGGCGACTGATCAGCAACAGTGACGCAGTGAGGATGCTTCAGGCCACCGTTTCTAGGGAAGCCTCGCAGCAAGGCCGTCACACTGCGTTGCCACGGGCTTGTATGCTTGTCACAGTCCCTCTCGGATGCTCTCGGGCCTTCTGGGGTGCTGTTGGGCCTGCTCAGGGGTTCCGAGGCCGTACATCGGCGAAGTAGTGGGGGATCTGGCGACCGTTTCTTCGGGGATCATGCTGCTCTCAAGGTGGTGTCTTGAGCATGTCCCATGTCGATCCGATCGATCCGATTCGATGCCGATTCCCGTCGACCGATCCGATTCGTTCCGACATTCTGACGACCCGATGCGTCCCGATGCCTGGCATGGCGCGGCTGTGAATCCTGGCGACGCCGATTCGAGTCGATTCCGACTCCGTGCCGATTCGGCCTGATTCTGCTACCCCTGCGGGTCCACTCGACGCGGGGTGTCGGACACCTCCGCTGGCGTTCACCTGGATGCAGACATCCTTCAAACTTTTACCTCCACCCGATTTTTCAGAGCGGGGGGTTACGGTCCATACGTGGCTGTCCACCGATTCGAGGCATGCCTTGATCCGGCTGTGGTGAGGACGCTGGTCAAGGAATGTGAGCATGAGGCGTCAGATCTTGGAGGATTCCTTATCTGATGAGGGCGGCGGTGATATCCATGGCCAAGCCTCGATTGGTGTTTCACCAGCTTTCAGACCCTGGATGTCTCATCCAAGGGTCCCTTATCCAATGCCATCAGCGTAGACTTGTGGACTTCGATTAATGAAGGGGAAGCATGCTGCCAAATAATTTCCAGATGTGAAAGACATGTTTCAAACATGCTTGAAATATGTAAGCATATGTTTGACATATTTTTAGAACATGTTTTACACAATTCAATGATAGGATTGTTAGAGTGTCCATTGTCATGGCATCCACAAGCGTAGACATCGATTCGACGCCGACTGCTGCTGGCATGGGCCGTCTCAGGGGGACTTCTTGGGTCTCGTGCGCGGGGCCTCCTCGACGGCCGAGGCGCCGTCCGGCAGCCAGCCTGTGCGACGCAAGGCACTGGCACGCCTGGCGCTTCTCACAGTGTTAATGTTTTTCTCTTTGGCCTCCCAGGTGGCTCCTACAGTCGGCCCGGATTAGTAGGTCGACCCTGCCAGCTCAAGGGTACCTTTGTGTCCTGTGCCTCGCGACACGTGCCTTCTCACACTCCTATGGCGATGTGGCCCTCGGAATGGTCTTGTGTCCTCTCGCGTGTCCTGTCCAATCAAGGCCGACTGTAGCTCAGAGGAGGAACAAGTGCCGATACCACTACCCTTGCCTCGTATTTGCCTTTTGGGCCTCCGGGGAGGCCCTCGTCGCCGCGGCTGCATCCGCCTCGAAGTCATTTTCAGAACGCACCCCGGCAGAGGTCCAGAGAGCATCGGTATCGGTAGCTTTCCGTTTCACCACTGACACCCTGGCAAGATGTGCAGACCCTTTTGGCCTCGGTCAGGAGGGCGTATACGCCGTGCCAGGGCCCAAGGTAACGTACACAGCGCGAACATAAAGACTCTATGGTGAGAATTGTACATTTGCTTGATTACAAGATCAAGCAAAACCAAATTTTCGTTTGGAGAACGACCTACGCGTGTTTCTCATTTATATTTTTTGTTAACAACTAGGAAAGACGCAGAAACTAAAATACGCTCATTTTTGGCCCTGGCCTGGCACGGCGCGGATTTGTGGGATCCGCGCTGGGGCCTCCTGGCGGCGCCTCCGGCGCCGTCCCTGGCGCAGCTCCACGCGCCAGGGAGGGGTGTCCAGCGCGGATCCCAGAAGTCCGCGCGGACCTCCGAGTTTTTATGTTCATGCCGTTTTTTGTTCCCCCAGTAGACCCCATTGCCCTCGGCCAGGAGGGCGTATACGCCGTGCTAGGGCCCAAGGTGGCCCTGGCCTGGCACGACGTGGTGTGCAGGCGCCTTCTGCGCAGGGCCGGCCTGCGCAGCTCCTGGCAGCACCCCCGCCCTCTCTCCCCGCCTCTCCGCCTTCGCCTCCAAGAACCCCTCGCGTCGTGAATAGGGGGCCACGTGCGAACCCTGCCCCTAACCCCCACGATTTCTGAGGGGGAGGGTGGGGTTCACTTCGCTCGGGAGCTCCCGAACGATGTGAACCCCTCGCGTCGTGAACTAGGGGATCAAAAAGTGATATAAACATAAAAACTCGGAGGTCCGCGCGGATTTCTCGGATCGGCGCTGGACCCCCCTCCCTGGCGCGCGGAGCGCGCCATGGGCGGCGCTGGAGGCGCCGCCGGGGGGGCCCAGCGCCGATCCGAGAAATCCTCGCGGACCTCCGAATTTTACGTTTATGCCACTCTTTGTTCCCCTGTGAACGAATCTCGCGACGGATTGCTTTTGTGGGCAGCGCCCGGCACGTGGGGCTCGCCCCGCCCCGCTCTCCGCCCTCTTCTTCTGCCAGCCCCCCTTGCCGTTCCTCCCGCTGTCCGTTCTGCGGCAGGCCGACTCGATGACCCACGACGCCCAGGCCTCCCTTCGCAGGACCGCCGGCGAGCGGCCATCGGTCTCTTCTGTTAGGTTGCTGGCTGGGCAGGGGATGGGGACGAAAGGGAGGAGATGAAGGCAGCGGCGGCTGGATTTTTTGCCCGCTCCCTGCCCAGTAGCTTAGAGCCATCTTGAGGCCTCAGATGCCCCATCGTCCTATCGGAAGCGTTCTTGTGGCGCGCCCCCACCAGCATCGAGCAGCCCAGGGTGTGCGATGGCCCCAGCCAGCTGAGGTGTGACACGCGTGGTCCGTGAGTCATTGGGCTCCCGACGCTAGCAGATAGATCACTCGGTACACTCTTTGGCCAGCTGCGCGACGTGCGCGCGGCCGCGCACGCCTGCAGTGGTCCCCAAATCCGACAAGGATGGAATTCATTCAGCACTGCTGGAAAGGCAGCGCAGCAGAAATCGTTGAGAAGCCTCAGTTTGTTGTTCGGGGCATCATCGGGAATCTCCGTGGCCACTCGGGACCGTCTCGGGGCCGTCTAGCAGCCCCTTAGGGGGCATGTTGGAGACGATTTTGTGCTAACCTGGACCTTCTTGCTCCATTTTGGAGGCCACCTGACGGCATCTTGGGGAATGTTGGAGTCATCTTTGCTTAAAAGCCTGCCGAGGATGCCCCTGAGATCAACGCCCTCTAGGTTTTCATTGGTTCTTGTCTATGGGCGAAGTAGGGTCCTTTCCCCCCCTGTTGGGGCCCGAACATTTGCTTTCTTGAGGGGCCCTGCAATGTCCCCCTTGGGGCTCTATTGGACGATGGTTTAATGATGTAGAGGCCTCAGGAGCCCGTCATAAGCGAAACGGCGATCAAGACACACGTTGAAACATGTTGGAAGGACTTTGGCCTCTCGGGGGCGTCCCTGGCAGGTTCCGTGGTCACGCTGAGCCGTCTTATGGCCGTCTTGTGGCCTCCTGAAGTCATGTTGGAGCTGTCTTGGCCCCTCCTGGAGTATGTTGCGCCATCTTGGAAGCCATCTTGGCTTATCTGAGGTCATGCTGGAGCGTACTTGGGCCATATTGGACGCGGAGGGGAATCCAGGGGAGGACTTCCCCAGAGTGAAGAGGTCGGTCCCATTGCCCCTATGCCGCAGCACTGGCGTGCCATATCCATTCTTGGCCTCGGCAAGGCAGGACAAGGCGAGGTGGTCTCCAAGATAACCACCAAGCCCACGGAGACTCCCAATCCACAGGCAGAAATCATGACGCATAGCTACAAGGATTGCCAACCACGAGCGCACAAGGTGCACGTGGAGAGCACTACGCTGGCATCCAGAGGAAAACTTAAAGCAGCACGGGCACTGCCAGCCAGGCGGACAACCCAAGCGCGGGACGACGATCTCATCATGCGCCAACAGCAACACAGGCCCGACCTGCACTCGACGCCCACACAAACCACCGCCATAAGCCAACCTAACGCTCCTGCCTGGGTTCAACCGGCGCAGGACACACACTGGGTCGTCATTTGAGCACCAATACACCAAGACGACACATGCCAGCACTTTCGCCAGCATCCATAACCAGAAATTCACCACCCCTCCCTTCTGTCTTAACTTTTCGTGGGGATTTTCCAAGACTCCATGGCCTCACCCGCCTGGTCTCAACTGCACCCGTACGACGACTGTCCGCGGAGGCGGTTCGTTCGTTCGTTCCCCAAGAAACTCTCGAAAACGTACGTGTCCTCAGATGTTTTCACGTATTTGGGCCTTCTCGCTTTCGAACTTCCGTATGACCCCGATCGGTTCGTAAGGCATGAATCAATATGGTCCCAAGATCGCCCAAGAGAGGGCCCACAGGGGGCCTCCTAGTAAGGACCCGCGACGGGCCTGGATGCCCCCATTTCAGGACCCCATGAGCGCCCCAGGAGGGCACCATCTATGTATGCCTGACGCCGCGCTGGTCGCAAGACGGCCCCGGGAGGGCCTCTCTGACTCGAAGAATCCCCAGCGTCGCTCCCACCCGCGGAGCTCCGACGGAGCCCTGAGGGCACCCACAAGAGCTCCACGAGAGACCCAAGAGGTCCACCCCGACCCTCAATCTCCGAGGCTACGCCCAACAAGGAGTTCCATGTGCGCCTCGGCCTGCTCGCTGGGCCAGATTGCCAGCCGTGTCCAGTCCACAGGCGAGGGGGGAAGCGTGGTTGCGAGGGGGTGGGGGAGGGGTCGACCCCTCCCCGAAGGGGAACAAGAAGATTGGAGTACCCAGCGCTCTAAACCACCTGCGCCCAGAGGGCTGGGAACAGGTTGCGCGGTCATGGGCGAAGCACTTCTAGGCTGCATGTTCGCAATTAGGGAATGTGTTTTCGGCCGCCTGCTTGCCCGCGGGAGACGTGATGTGCATGTCCCAGTTTTCCTACAAACGCGACGTCCCCGATTGGTTGGCTTTCACAGTGGCAACCGCCCGGAGCACGAAACCGCTACGAGGCGGTCGCATGCGACGATGGGCGGAACCCCCAGACGTCTCAGCCAAAGACGGCCATGAGGATCGATGGCCGCGCCCAACGGCGATTGGACGCGCGCGAAAAGGTACATTTCTGTAAGATTTTTGCCAGCCTGAGCCCGCCACGCGCAAGTCGGCCATTGTGTGGAGCAATACATGTGGTACAGTCGGGGCGCTGAAGAAGGAACCCTTTTCGTTGGGAGGGGCTCCGTGTTCCTTGATTGTTTCGCAGCTTGCCTTCGGTTTTCCTCAGGTTTCCGATGGGAACTCCCATCTTAACGGATGGGAAAAAAGGGGCCTCGTTCCTTATGTAGGGCTCCTTAGGCCAACGCCCCGACTGCACAACCTGTCTGGTGCAGTCCAGGTGGAGCAAATGGAGCCCGCGCGTGCGGCGCCCACTGGGCGCCTGCGGGCGCCACCTGGCTGAAAACCGAGCCACGTCCGCCGCGCACGAGGCGCTCGCGAGGCGGCGCCCGCGCATGCCCGCCGGCGAAAGACCTGGCCGCGCCGGCCAGCGCCCGAGGCGCCGACGAGGCGCGCGCGGGGCGCCCACGGGCGGCACGCCCGGCTCCGCCAACGCGCCCGCGAGGCGCCTTCGAGGCGCCGACCGGGCGCACGCTGCGGAACACCGGGCCGCGCCAGCCGGCGCCCGCGAGGCGCCCGCGAGGCGCCTGCGAGGCGCCCAGGGGCGGAGCTCCCGGCCTGGCCAGCCAGCTCCCAGGTGCCGCCGAGGCGCCTTCGAGGCGCCCACTGGCCGAAGGCCCGGCCGCGCCAGCGAGGCGCCTGCGAGGCGCCCACGAGGCGCCTGCGAGGCGCCTGCGAGGCGCCCACGGGCCCGCGCGGCCTGGCCAGGCAGCCAAGGAGGCGCCCGCGAGGCGCCCTTCGGGCTCCCACTGGCCCAGGGTCCTGCCGCGCCAGGCGATGCCTTGCGAGACGGGTGGGAGCTTCCAAGGTGCAAGTACTGCTCGGGGAGAGGCGGCCAGGGACGAAGTGCTGGCACCCGGGCGCGGGTCGAGCGCTCCGCGGGTCACATCGTCAAGGAGTCACGACTGTCGGAGGTCTGGGGGCCACGCGCATCGCATGCGGAGTTCAGTCCACACACGATGGCGGAGGCCTTGCGGCCGGTGCCGCCGACCCTGAAGGGGGACGACGACGGCGACGACGATGACGACGACGCTGACGCTCTGGAGCTGAAGGCTTCTCCCAGGGAGGGGTGCCACGCGCACTGCATGCGGAGTGGGGTCCACACATGATTAGCAGCAGGTCATTTCCGGGTCTCGCGCGCCGACGGCGGCGCGCTCTTCAGCCGCCAGGCGGGCGATGGCGGGCCGGCTTGCTCTCCACTCTCGCCCCTGGCTGCGTGACGCGCACGAGAGACGCTCATCGTCATGGTACGTGCTGTAGAAGGCAGTGCGCTTCCATCGTCATGATGCTTTCAGTGGCATGGCGCTTCCTGGATCATGACGCGGGGCCGCCATCGCCATCAGAACGCCGCTTCCAGGATCATGGAGGAGTTCGTTCACGTGACGCGGTTCATCATAATATGTAACTACGTGTCCAAGATCATCGAGCCGTTGCATTCCAGGTGCTCGAAGGACCTCATACATTTACCGTAACTGTGCTGATCTTTGCTGTCTCTGCTGTCCCCGTTTGTCTCCTCTCTGCCCTTGGTTGGTGTCCGTCTGCCTGGCTGCGTGTGTGACCTGTCTTTGTCTGGCCGAACTTCCGCATCCCCAGTTCCGCTTCCAGCCGGTCAGCGGGGAGTACCAGAAACACCGCCTGTTGCACATCTGCGAGCAGGAGGGCGTGAGGCCGCGCAGCAAGCCTGCTGAGGGTGTGAGGCGATGTCTCTTACTACTAGCGTCATTGACGACGACGATGGCGTTGGCGGCGTGGAAGACGATTGCGACGACGACGACGATGATAGTGATCAGGAGGAGAAAAAACACACAGACACAATTAATCGTCGATTCCCCAGAAAATATAGGAACATATGGGAAGTGGGGGGGAAGACGAAAATAAAAAACATGGGACATATGGGGAATCCTGTTATTTGTGTGTATTCATTTGTGTGTCCTTGGGCCCCTTGAAATGAAGCGGACTGCGACGAGGAAGCCCACTGCGATCGTCGACCGTCCATCCTCGGGAAGTCCAGCGCCAGGCTTTGCCGGGCACGACCCGCTGCGGAGGGATCGGGGGGGGGGGGCCAAGGGGGGCGTGGCCTTCTCTCGGGGGGCGCGGCCTTCTCTCGGCGGCGGCCTTCTCTCGGCGGCGGCCCGCGTTCCCCCCCAGCCCCTCGACGGGATCACTGGCCAGGGCCCCTCCCATGTCAGGAGGGGGAAAAGCACACACAGACACAATTCATCGTCGACTCCCAAGAGAAGATGGGGAAATATGGGAAGTGGGGGGGGAGACGACAGCCCAGAACATCTGGGAAAATGTGGTGCATCCTGCTATTTGTGTGTACTTGGTGCGTCCTGCAATTTGTGTGTACTTATCTGTGTGTCCTTGGGCCCCTCGACTTTGGCTCACCTGCACAGCCGTGCCCTGGATCTCCGGAGGCCGCTGACCATCTTTCCGCTTCGCCGCTCGCCGCTCGCTCGTCTTAAGTCGGGCCTGCCCCTCTACAGGAGGAATCTTCAAAAATAGTGAAGAAGGGGTATAGGGGACGATTTTTTGGGCATTTTTGGGCATCTTTGGGGTATCTTTTGAGTATCTTTTATTTTTCGTCCAAAATCCCCCTGTAGGGGGACAGGCCCGACTTAGCGCTCGTCGCTGCGTGCCCTCGGCCCCGCCCCGTTCCCCCCGTCTCCGGCCCTCGGCCTCCGCCGCCGCCCCCCCAGGATCGAGGACCGAGATGGAGCAGGATCGAGGATCGAGGGTCGAGGAGGCTTTGCTACCGTCCTTCAGCGTCTTTTTGCACCCACGATGCCGCAGCCCAGCGTACGTCCCAGGAGGTGGGCGAAGGCCCCGGGGGCCCCCGTCTCCGGCCCTCGGCCTCTCTGCTCCCGTCCCCTGCCCCGCACTGGTCCTCCACACGGGCCCTCCACACGGGCCCTGCATCTCGTCGCCATTCGCCAGTCCGTCTTGCCCCCTGCCCTGGTGAATCAATGGAGAGGAAGCGTGTTGCCAAATAATTTTTCCAGATGTGTAGAACATGTGTTAAAACTGTTCTGAAGATGTAAAAAACAGGTTTCAATATTTTACAGGACGCCTTTCCGACATTTGAAACACATTTTTTATTCGATGATAGGACTGTTAGGGTGTCCACTGTCGTGGCATCCACAACCCTTCCCCCTACCCAAGCCGCCCCGAAAGGATTCCCCACTTCCGCGCCCCTGCTCCTCCTGTCCCTCGCTGCTCCCTCGCGCAGGAGCTTTGCTCAAGGCTGGCTCCATCCAGCTGGGGCCGGTATAGTCGCGCTCATGGCGGTGCACCGCCAGCGGCGCATTTTTGGAATCCTCCTATGTGGTATTGCAGCTGCCACGTGTAGCCATGTGGCGCTGCTTTGGGGCAGCTTTGTCTCTGTGGGGGGGTCGATGCAGCGCCTCCAGAGAGCTTATGGTCAGGGGGCCTGGCCGCGACACATTAGACATCGGATGTTTGCGCGAGACGTGAGCTGCTTCTACATGTCTCCTGGAGATCTCACAAAACGTATCACGTCAGCAAGGGCATACGACGAGCTTCTCCAGTTGTCAGCAGACGAAGTCGACATGTTGCACCGGGCTACGATCTTGCTCCAATTGACAAAGCTGGAGTTTGATCCTTCGGAAGCGGGACAGATATGTGCGTGCAAGGATTTACTGCGAATGGTAATGAATGATCTTGTGCATTGGAAATCGAGCAGCAATGTCAAGAGTCGCCAAGCCAATCGGGATCTTCGGGAAGAACGGGCAAAATATTTAGGCAATGTGGTGTACTCTCTTGGGCGCCTCGATCAGGATGGCGTTCTCGCCGTGGCTTTATCCGAAGAGGAGCGGGCACTGATATTTGAGCATGCGACCATAGCTGTGTTGGAAGCTTTGCCTGACTTGTTGCAGCAGACGAAGCCAGACTATTTGAATCAAATCGTGTTCGGGTTGAGGCTTTCGAGCCGAAGCCTCCAGACAGATTACATATTCAAGACTCTTGCTCCCCGTTTCGCGGAACTTCTCCACAAATGCAATCATAATCGTTACCTTGGTGTCGTCAATGTTCTCCTCGCGTACGCCCGTTATTCCTTGCCGGACCCTGCAATTGTGGACATGTGTGTAAGTTTGACGGACATCGTCGATGAGATTTCAGTCGATGATCCAAACGCAATCCAACTATTTTCTATGGCGGCGCACGGCTACGCGACGTATGCAACTCTCTGCGATGGAAAAGTTGATCCGACATACTCGTATTCTGTTCTTTTGGCGAAGCGGGATGCTTCCGATAAGCTTGGTGTTGAAATGCGGCTGAAGAAGGGCCACAGTGCCATCGGCATCGTGAGAATTGGGGAAGGCTTAGTGAGGAGATGGAATAGACTTTACCCAACTTGGAAGGTTCAAAGTGAAGACCAGATCTTTAAAGCCAACAATGTCACCGGTGATGCCAGACTGGTTTTGAGAGAGATCACTTGCAGGGACCGTGTTATGCTGACTTTACGGCGTGGGCGGGTATGCTTGGCAGAGAGTACTCGCAACACTAAAGTGTCAGAGCTGGTAGATCTGGAGGCAGTGAAGGATAAGATGTTTATGCAAGGTCTCATGGACAAATACGTCGAGGCATGCCGAATCCAGACATCTAAATTTAAGTTCACGTCTACGCTTCCTTTGATGGCTGGTGCTTCCTTGTTTGATCTCGACTGCGAATTGTTTTGCGAGTGGTTTCGTCCACTCTTTGCACAGACAATTCCAACGCTTCCCAGCAAGCTTATTATTCAGATACTTTGGTGGTTGAGCTTGAAGAACATGTTCAACGATGAGGGCATTATCAATGCTCTTTCCGACCGAATTCTCGTGCTCTTGCGCGGGAACGATATTGAAAACCCCAAATGTTATGTCCCTGTCATCTTGAATGCGCTGAAGAGGTTAGACTTTGCATCTACAACAGAGGTCGTGGCAGCATCGAGGCGGGCGGCTCAGCAGCATGGCGTCATTGACCAGGAGCATGATTGCCACATTGACCAGATGCGCCTCATATTGACAGGAGATGTAGAGGGGGAGGAGGCCAGCTTTTCTTCCTGATGCGAGCTGCGGGCTTCCTGACGCAAAACATGCGCCTCCCATATCCCCTTCCCTCTCCCCCTCTCCCCACCTTCCCGTCCCCTCTCGGCGCCCTCCTGAGATATTGATCTCTGCATAGCAGGTCTGCCAGTAAGTAGCGGGCCGCGCGCGGCGGCGGTGGGCTGGGACACCGCTTGGTGCGCAGCGAGACGTTGTGTGCGGGGCACGTTTCGGTCCTCATCCGCCGTCCATGTCTCCCCCTACTCCTCCTCCTCCTCCTCCTCCTCCTCCTGCTCTTCCTCTCCTTGTCCTCTCCACATCCTTTCTTGTTTAGCAGTCTGAGCAATGGTCGAGCGTCTTGGCCACTGCCTGTGTGTAGATGGCTCTTCCGCAGTGATGGTCATGTAGCGATGCTCTCGTTCGCTTTGCGGCTGCCACGCGTGGCTTCGGGAGTTGGGGCGCTGGCTCCTCCAGCACTCAGCCTTTTTCAGGCGTCGATGGCCAGAGACGAGCCATACGCCCTCCGTCCAGTTTGGTTTTGCTTGCGCCAGATGGCTGGTGCAGACCCCTGCCTTGGTGGCTGTCGCCATCTGTGCAGCTGGGTGTCAGCCTCCAATGAGAGGGGTGGACGGTGCCCGCACCCCTCAGGGAGGACTTGCCATCCCCCTGTTGTTTCGCGGCAGTACCCGCGCCGATGCCCAACAAAAATGGATGGCGTGGCCATTCTAGCGCTGTGCACCCCCTCGCTCCCCTCTCCCAGGGTCAGGCAGGAGGGAGGGGATACGGAGAGGGAGACGGGGAGGGGGAGTTTTGCTGACAGCAGCTTATGCTTCTGACTCCTGTTAAGAGATGGTAAGAATATTACTACGACGGGAGGAGCTCGACGTTCTTCTCCCGCTTATTCTGAGATGGGCGACGGTCTGAAAACACCCCAACGTCGGCCCCAAATATGAAAGCAATCGCATCATCAAAGTCAGCAGTGGAGTCGGAACGCGCATGTTTTTTTCATCAGGGGAGGACCCCTTTACGCTAAGACGTACTTGGGGCATGCGTTACCGCCTGTTGCGGAATACACGCCAATCGAATTGCGCCCCGCATTTCAAAGTTGGTTGGTGACCGCGCTGGAGGAGAGCGCAAAGTGTTGCGAAACAAACGCCCACTCCTGCGAGGAGCCAATCGCTTCCCGCCAACTTTGGAGTACAGGGTCGAGGGGGGCGCGTTTCGACGTCTTGTTATACAGATCGGGCGTGGGCGTTGGGCGTGGGCGTTGATGTTGCAAACAGCGGTAGTTCCAGGCTCAGGCGGAGGAAGCGGTGGCGGAGGTGGAGGTGGAAGAGGAGGTCGCGGACGAGGATCATGATGTCGATGATGATGCTTATGATAATGCTGCTGCTGCAGCTGATGATGATGCTGATTATGATGATGCTGATGCTGATGCTGATGCTGATGATGATGATGATGATGATGATGATGATGATGCTGATGATGATGCTGATGCTGATGCTGATGCTGCTGCTGCTGCTGATGATGACCATGATGATGATGATGCTGATGCTGCTGATGCTGATGATGATGATGATGATGAGGAGGAGGAGGAGAAGGAGGAGGAGGACGAGGATGAG